AAAGATAAAAAGGGCTGGGGAGGGGCCAAGATCCTGAGTTCAATCCCCAGTACTGAAAAAAAAAAAGGCTGGGGACATAGCTCAATGCAAAAGCCCTGGGTCAAACCCCAGTAACACACACACACACACACACACACACACACACACACAACCAAATGAGACAATATGTGCTGAACACTATTGGTGGTTCACAAATTTGAACCTGTTTAGTCTTCCTAAGAATCCTATGAAGTAGATACAGTTTTGAGCTCCCTTTTACACATGAGAAATCTGCAGTGCAGCACTGAGATGATGAGTAACTTCCCCAAGGTCATTAACGAAAGAGAGCAGTCAGGATTTGAGTCAGGGCTTAAGCTGCATCAGGGCATGATGGCGCTTGCTTCCCCTCTCTCCTGTGGACTCCTCCTCCAGGGCTTGCCCACCTCCAGACTGCCCATGCCTCACCACCCCCTTTCTCCCTTGCAGAAGTGCATTAGCAGAGGGGAGCTCCAGGTGTCTCTGTCCTATCAGCCTGTGGCACAGAGAATGACAGTGGTGGTCCTCAAAGCCAGACACTTGCCGAAGATGGACATCACCGGTCTTTCAGGTAGCAGCTATTTACTCCAACCTGTCCCTCCCTGTCCAGGCCACCCCGCTCCCTGCCCTCAAATCAAACATATTCCTGAGTTTCAGGACCCCGACTTGTTTCACTATCTATCCCCTCCTCCCTCTGTAGACTTTATTTCTGATATCAGCCGAGAGATTTCCTTAGCAAGGGAGGTGGTTTGGGGAAGCAATTGAGGTGCTTGCATCAGGCCAGGCATCCTGTATGACAGGCATGCGAGGTGCCAAGCACTCACCCCAGGTGAGAGTCCCCAGAAAGACTGTATACACACAGTCAGCCCCAGGTGCTGCTAGAGGACACCTTCTGTGTCACTCTATTGCTTCAGCCCTGGCAGTGGGATTGCTCAATTCTCCTCCCGTTTGGTTTCTTGGGCTCCCTATCCAGGCACACAGACTAGCAGCCTGGGCACACTTACTGTAGAGCCATTGAACACCATAAGGGGTGGCACCAAGAATATGGGCAGCAGAGTCCCCTCCTGCCTAGCAGACAGCCACATTTATATGGGAGAGAACTGTGTCATAGGCCTGTGTCTCTTCTTGTTATCTCCTTGGGGGCCCCAGATCCTTATGTCAAGGTGAACGTCTACTACGGCAGAAAGCGCATCGCCAAGAAGAAGACCCACGTTAAGAAGTGCACTTTGAACCCCATCTTCAATGAGTCTTTCATCTACGACATCCCCACTGACCTCCTGCCTGATATCAGCATTGAATTCCTCGTCATCGACTTCGATCGCACCACCAAGAACGAGGTGGTGGGGAGGCTGATCCTGGGAGCTCACAGTGTCACAGCCAGTGGTGCCGAACACTGGAGAGAGGTCTGTGAGAGTCCCCGCAAGCCTATATCCAAGTGGCACAGTCTGAGCGAGTATTAATCCTGTTCTTCTCGCCTCTAAACCTGGAGCCAGGCTGGGGAGGGATGTTGCAGGGAGAGATGACAGAGAAGCGAACTCAAAACCTCATTTTAGTTGTAGAAGAAAATTTCTTACAAAACAAACCCCACAGAGAACACCCTACATGACCACAGCTGCAGATCTGTTATTAGCAGTGATTTTTTTTTTCTCCTTCGCAGGGCACTAGAAATTCTTTTGTTTTTTAAATGGGGGGAAAAAGAGAGGGGAAGACCCTACAATCCTATATATAACAATGTAACCTTGTACTTGCATGTCTAATACACACTGAAGAAATTAGCCTATCTGCCAGTATCAAGTTGCAGATTTTAATCCATGAAAATTGTGTTTTGTGCCGAGTTGTATTTGCTGATTACCTGAAATTGGCATCTTTTCATTGGGCTTCTCTGGAGAGTTACTCCCACTCCCCACCTCTGCAGAAGAAGAGTTTGCTCTTGTAAAATTTCATGTTTTCATGATTCCCATCTTTTCTTCCACCTTTTGTATCTCTGTGCTTTGACTGAACTCAAGGCCCAGAGGTCTGTGTAAGCCAAGAAACAAAGGTAGGGTGATACAGTGGGGCTTGCAGGAGAAAACGTGACTGGAAGTGGGGCGTTTTTGCTGCCAGTCCTGCTGCTGTGAAGGGGCAGTGGGCAGTTATGCTCAACTGATACCTGCCCCCACCCCAGTGAAGCACATAGAACATATCGGGTTTATCAGGTAGAACTTGGATCTACAAAACTCCTGACTTCTCTAAAAAGAGCTCTGGAGACTTTACATTCAGCTGCAGGATAGAACCAGTGGGCACAAGCAGCTGACCCCAAAGATTATTTGCAGGTATGAGGACAAGGAGAGGAGCAAGGAAGTGACTGCCCCTCCCCTTTGCAGCTCTCTCCTGTAGTGACACCTCTTTCTAGGTTAATCTGTTTGAAGGGTTACACTGGCCTTTGGTTCCCCAGAAATCCGGACTATGGAGAGTCTTCTCAAATGGCTTAGATGTTCTAATGAGATTAGATTTGTTTCCTAAGGGAAAAGGCCCTCAAATAATTATTCTTCCTCTTTAAATTTTTCGATATACAGATCTTTAAGCAACCATGTGGCTGAGTTATAAAGATACATTTTCCTTTCCCTCAAAATAAAGTGCATAATTCTTGGGGCTTTAGTCTCACAATATGGAAAGGATGGGAGATCCGGCGTTTAGTCCTCCTGCTGCTGGGCAGTACAGGTTGAGCAATTCAGCTCCAGACTGCAGTCAGAATCCAGTTCTGCTTCTTCCTGGTGCAGCTGCATCCCCCTGTGGCGATTCCAGGTGGCAGGGACTTCAGCACCCATGAGTAAGCTTGGGTGGGCAGCACATGGTTTTGACAGCCTGAAGAGGAACTTGGTCAAATAAGCAGCAGCTTGACCCAGGGCCTGAGAGGGGAGTGTAGCGTCCACTTCCACACAAGATCATCGCTTTCTAACTTGCTCCTGAAAAGGGAGTGGAAAAGCTGAGTCTCCACGGAGAAGGTGGTGACATTGCTCTTAGTGTCCCCTGAGATTGTGTGGATTTAAATCCAGTCTGCTCCCTGCCCCCATCCTTTGCTTTGGTTTTGTTTTGACCCAGATTCTTGACAATGCAGAGTGATTCTGTGCAGGCGCAAAGTCCCTTCTCTGTCCTTGTCCCCATCCACACCTCCCCCCTCACATCTGACTCTATCTCATCACCAGTTGGGGCCACACCACTAATCTCTGTCCTCTAACCCATGGAATGTAAATATTGTATCATACGTAGAAGAAAATAATTTTTGTTTTCTAAAAATGCATTTTGAAATAGTTTAAATGTAAATCTGGCAGGAGCATTCTGAAGCCCCATTAAGAAAAAATCTAAATGATTCCTCTTCATCGCCTTAATGTCTAAAGATCAGAAACCGCTGAGCATCCCGCTTTTGTTTCCTTCCCAGAAACAATGCAGAGCGACAGGTGGAGTCAGTCTGGTCTTTGCCCTGCAGTGTGCCTCTGTAGCTCCTCCTGCCATAAGCCCGGGGAGACAGCCTTGCCCACCCCCGATGCCCATCTCCTGGTAGCTTTACTCCTTCCTTACATCCTTTGGGTCTGTGGAGCAGTGGGTGATGAGGTGCCAGGGAGAAACCAGCCGCTCTGTAAGCCGGGAACCACCTCCGTGCCTTTACCAGGAAAAGGCAAAGAGGTGGCCAGCATAGGATTCCTCCCTCCAACCTCAGGCCTGATCCATCCTGCCCTGGAGTATGTTGTCCCAAAGTTTCTTAGTTGACTTTGGCTTTCATATTTGTTCTTTGCAGAGAGAACTGATAAGGCTGAGGCAGAGTGCCTCTTCCCAAGAGTCAGTTGACAGACAAGAGAGTCACATCCTAGTGTTTGCACAAGGCGCTCGTAGTCAGGAATAGGTTAGGCAATGGTCACGTCCGAGTCTCCAAAAGCTAATTCTTCTCTGGATATCTTGCTCCCTTCGGGAACACGAGTTTTCCTTAATAACAAAAGTCCTTTTATGAGTTGTTCCTTCCTCCAGTTCCCAGTGGAGCACAGCCAAGATGTACCTGTTTCCTGACAGTGCTCTAGGTAGGAAACCACGTAAAACTGCTCTGTGGGACAGGGGTGGCTTGCTAAGGAGAGGAAAATGCAAGTCCCTTTTCTTGGAAGGCTCTCGTGATGGCCATGACAGTGACATTGCCCTCACCATGATCCCTCTCCGAAGTGGTCGTCTTTCTTTACCTTGTGTCTTCTCTTGTAAAAATGAAACTCAAAGATAAACATGTCAAATTTAAAAAAAAAAATAAAACAAAAAAGCTAACATGAATTGTGTGGAAATTGCATAATGCTGTAACACTAACCTACAATATGTAATGCTATCTTGTATGTTGAATTTGTTAATGCACTACACAAGTGCAAAATAAAGACTGATTCACATTAAGTAGGTACAGTGATGTTGGCTTGATTCTCTTAGAAGCTGGACTGATCGCTAAGGAAGTTTGCAGTCAGACATCCGAAAGACGGAGAGCACATTTTCCAAGCAGTGGCCCCAAGTCTACCAGATTTGGGACCATCTGGGGTATTACTTTCAAAGTAATTGGGGTTGGGATATAGGTAAGACATGGTATGGCATGTGTTTTAGCATGATGGAGCAGGTGCTTAGCATGCACGGAGCACTGGGCTTGATCCCTAGCGCGGGGAAATGGGAGTATAACCATGAGACTCACCTTTGGAAGATGATTTAGTTTACTTACTGTTTGTTTTACTCTTTTTTTTTTTTTCCCGCGGAACTGGGGATTGAACTCAGGCCCTTGCGCTTACCAGGGAAGTGCTTATTCTACTGAGTCATCTCCCCAGCCCTGTTTCTAATCTTTGTTTTCCTCTCAAAATGTGATTTCTTTTTTGGGTTGTGAGGAGTTAAGACAAAATCTCACTTTATGGCTCAGGCTGGCCCTGAATTTATGGCGATCCTCCTGCACCAGCCACCTGAGTACTAGCGATTATAGGTGTCACCCACCACATCCAGTTTGTTAAAATGTAATTTCTAAGACCATGAGAACTAATGGTTTTTAATGCTGAGGATTAGTCCTCTACATTTTTTTTTTTTTTTTTCCTCTGCCTTTTTTTTTTTTTTTTTTTTTTTTGCGGAACTGGGTATTGAACTCAGACCCTTGCACTTGCCAGGGAAGCGCTTATTCCACTGAGCCATCTCCTCGGACCTTCCTGTCCTCTGCCTTTTTAATTGGAGGTATTTGTTCCAAAAAGCATTGCTAAGGGCTGGCGAGATGGCTCAGTGGTCTAGAGCACCTACTTGGAACAAGCTTGGCAAAGCACAGGGACCGCGGTTCAATCCCCCAGCACCACATGCCAGCCAGTCCCGCCCCCTGGTGGGCTGAGCTGGCCACACACACACACACACACACTAAATAAATAAACAAAAAGCATTGCTAAGAGTAGTTGATTCTCTTCTTTCATTTATTAACAAAAACAAACAAAAAGCCAGGTGTGATGGCTCATACCTGTGATCCCAGCATTCTGGAGACTGAGGCAAAAGGATTTCTATGAGTTTGAGGCCAGCCTGAGCTGCACTGTGAATTCAAGGCCAGCCTGAACTACATAGTGAGAAACTACCACACACAGAACAAAATTAAATTAATAAAATTAAATAAAGATGGGGCTGGAGAGATGGCTCAGTGGTCTAAAGCACCTACTTGAATCAAGCTTGGCGAAGCACAGGGATCACGGTTCGATCCCCAGCACCACATGCCAGCCAGCCCCGCCCCCTGGTGGGCTGAGCTGGCCACACACACACACAATAAATAAATGTAATAAATAAAAATAAATAAATATTTTTAAAAAAATTAAATAAAGAGCAACAACCACAAAATAAAGAAAATACAAGAAGTATGCACTCACAGAAATAGAAAAAGTCTACTTGGAGGCAAACATTGGTGATTTTTTATTTTTTTTTTAAACTTTTGAGACAGCGTTTCACTATGCAGTTAAGGTTGGACTTTGAACTCACTTTGTAGACCAGGCTGGCCTTGAACTTGCAGCAACACTCCTGCCTCCTGAGTGATGGAATTACAGGCATTCATTACCCTGCCCATCAGCATTGCTAATTTTGATACATTTTACAACTTTTTGGGCTGGGGAGATAGCTCAGTAGAATAAGCGCTTGCCTGGCAAACACAACGTCCTGAGTTCAATTCCCAGTACCACAAAAAAAAAAAAAAAAAAAAAAAAAAAACTTTTTTTATCTATGGCTGCAATCATATCATTCACCTTTTTTTTAGTACACATACTGTATATACTAGACCAAAGGGTTTTTTGTTTGTTTGTTTGTTTTTTGAGGCCAGAAGATGCCTTAGGGCATTTCTGGTTTGCTGTGCGTATCTGGGTTCGAACCACAGCAGCTTGAGCTTGAGTGCTTTGTTTAAGCAGGCACTTAAACAACTGAGCTAATGGGCAGGCCCCCTAGACTGAAGTTTTTTGGGAGTACCACTGTCAGTTGATTATAATTCTGCTTGGTCTTCAGGTACAGATACCTACAGGCCATCTTAAGATTCAGCAAGATGGGGCCAGTGAGATAGCTCAGCAGTCTAAGCACCTGCTTGGCAAGCAAAAGGACTGAGGTTCGATCCCCAGCACCTCCAGCCCTGGCCAACCAGGCGCACTGACAGGCACTAAAATGTGCTGTCAGGAGGCTGAACACAGGAGGATCACTAAAAGTCAGGGCTGCATAGTGAGACCTTGTACCAAATACATAAAAAAGATGTGCCATTTTGGGTAAAAGCCTGGGAACTCTCAAACTTACCAGTGTTCAATCCTATCGAGCTAGAAATTTACTGCAAATGTTATTTCAAATTTCAATCTAGGGGGCTGGTGAGATGGCTCAGTGGTCTAAAGCACCTACTTAGAACAAGCTTAGCAAAGCACAGGGACCGCGGTTCAATTCGCCACACACACAAACAAACATAAATAAATAAATAAATAAATAAATAAATAAATAAAATTTAAAAAAAAAATTCAATCTAGGACTGGCAAAATAGCTCAGCGGACTAAGTCGTGCTTAGGCAAGCTCAGGGACAGGGTTCAGTCCCAAGCACTGCAGCCCGTGTTGGTACATTGAGCCAGCCACCAAGACCAGGGAGGTGGAGCAGCACAGGATTGAATCCAGGGCCTCACTCAGGTTAGGCAAGTGGCCTATTACTGAGATCCATCTCCAGCTATTTTTGTTTATTTTATTTTATTTTATTTTTATTTTTTTAGTGGAACCAGGGATTAAACTCAGACCCTTGAGCTTGCCAGGCAAGCACTTATTCTACTGAGTTATCTCCAAGGCCCCTCCAGCTTATATTTTTAATGTAATTACATATATATTTTTTTTATTTATTTTATTTATTTTATTTTTTTGTTTTTATTT